CATGTGGGTATCACACCCACATCACTTTACTTCTACACCATTTTATTTGACCAGGTGTTGGCAAACATCTGCCATGCAGACTTAGAGAAACTATGTTTTACACATAACAGTAAATAAGTGTAAAAATATAGCGTCGGTAGGTACGACAAAAAAAAATAAAGACTTCAATTACAAGTAATTTATTCATAGATACGTGAACTTACTGCATTTTGTGTTGTGCCGAATTTCAATGTTTAAAAAAGTAGAAAAGTAAAGAATAATAGTTGCCCGGTGCTTTGGTTAAAATATTAACAATAGCAGAGATAGGCGAAGAAGAATTACATTTAGAGATAATAAAAAAAGATACGTAAATGAAAAAATACAGTAACAACAGGTACGTATGGATTGTACCTTCAAAACTCCATTGATAATGAACCGATTTTAATCATTAATTTCTTTTAGGTTGGGTATACTTCCCGCTAGGTCCTCTTCAAAGTTGCAGAAAAAAACTCAGACTTAGACAATGCTTGATATATTTATTCTCACATTCTTATTACCATTGGTGAATGTACGAAATTTATTTCATAACTTTGACTTTCTGCATGTGAATTTATGAAGGTGTGCTACATAAATTTGCATGCATAAAGTTAAAGTTTTGAAAGTAAAAGCAAGAATAAAGTAAGACTACCCACAGTATACTCAAGGTAACTAATGCAAACAAATAAATCTTTGTGAAGCAATACAATAACGCTCATAAAAATTTAGGATAAAGTTGAATATAAAAAAAAAAACACTTCAAATAATTTTTGTAGAGGTTACCTTTCATTTTCTTGGCAGCAATTAGGTCGCGATTAATTATGATTTTAAACTATGGCGTTGGCCAGTATTTCAGGAAGTTATTTATAAGTTTTAGATAAAGATCATGTAACCTTAATGCTTGTTCACTTTCTACAATCTCAACTAAACTCGCACTAAGGATCTATATTTACCTAAAATATTAAGACTTACTTAAAGTCAATAATGTTATCGTCTGAAGCAAGTAATAATTTTGGTAAAATACCTACCTACATAACTTGCAAAACTATATTCTTTTTGAAGTAGTTGTAAAGAAAATAATATTAAGCTAATGTTATCAGGGTAAGAGGTAGGAGCACCAGGGACTTCCTTTCTAGGGTATACCTGGTTCCCCGGCTATTAGTATCCGAGGGGATTTCCGCACGGAAAAAAAAAAAAAAAAAGGGTAAGAGGTAGGAAATATCATATCTCTGACACTGGAAGACGTCTTTAAGCTTCTGGACTGGAATGGACATGCCATCAACATAAATGGCGAATATATCAGTCACCTTCGATTTGCTGGTGATATAGTTTTCATGGCTGAAACCATGGAAGACCTCAGCACAATGCTCAATGACCTTAGTAGGGTCTCTTAACGAGTTGGTATAAATGAACATGGATAAGATTCGATGATAAGACGAACGCCTATGTCGCAACCACTCCAATGAAAATTGGAGACTACGCTCGACGTCGTTGAAAATTTACCTAGGATAAACTATCCAGTTAGGCAGGTCCAACTGGGCCATCGAGTGGCCATTAGCATCGGTATAAATATCGGTAGTTAAAAATATATTACGTTTTTTGAGGAAATGATTTTTTTTATTTTTATTATAATAAATTATGAAAAATTAATTATTTTTATTTTGTTATTTCAATTTTTTTTTATTTTTTTTATAATTTTATTTTTTTAATAATTTAATTTTATTTATTTATTTCTTTTAATAATTTACTATAATAAAAATAAATAAATAATTTCCTCAAAAAACGGAATATATTTTCAACTACCGTATTTATACCGATGCCAATGGCCACTCGATGGCATCTCAATAGCGTGTCAGTGGTATGACAGTGGCTTGGCGTAAATAGCAGAATTGAGGCCCGGTTCTTGTGGCAAAGCTTGGTGGAGGCCTATGTCACGGTACTATTATAATACAGTACTCCAACTTCATACAAACGGACGAAACGCGAGCTATACCTACGCACCTCGATCTCGGGGTGCGCTCGGGGCGCAGACAGTCACGGCTGTACCGCAGTGTCGAACCGACTGTGTTGTTTTTATAACAATAACCGCGCGATTTTTTCTCTAAAAATCAGTTAATATGACGAGTAGGAAATATTGTACATAATGTGTGTCTTTTTAATGGATAAGTATTTCCTTTTATCTCACGAAAAAAAAGTGTTTGGATGAATAAATAAAGCAAATAGAGTAACGGAAAGTTATTGAGACGAGTGAAATAGGGAGTTATATGCGGTTCTGAATGAATCATGATACGGTAGGTACCTACCTACTTACGCTTGTGTTAAAACTTCGGTGCATGTGTGTTTTGTTACTTTGCATAATAACACGTCTTTACTTTGAGTAAAGACGTGGTATTTTATTATTAATAATATTTGTTTATTATCTGTGTGTATGAATAATACTAAAAAAATTTTTTTACCGTCTGTGTGTCATTAGACAGTTTTCGAAATTTTCACAAAGTGTTTCTGCTGCTACTATAACAACATATACCACTAAAAACTGGTTTTATTTTCTCGGTATTAACAACAACAGCTAGACTCATATATAATATTTAGATGTTTGAGGGTTGTGATTTTAAAACATTCGTAGTCAGCTGTTCAGCTTTTTAATAATTAATTAATTGGTGACCAAAGAATTTTTGTTTTGAGTTGTTGCGAGTTGTAGGTAGGTACCTAATTTATAGAGACGTTAATAAGCTGAGATAAAAAGTTACTTACTCGTCAGCTGTTTCTTGCATTCTAGTTTAGGATTGGAGTTTTGTAACGCGTAAGGAGAAAGCACATTTATTTTATTTTATAGAAGAATGTTTTTTCGGTCGCAAATTTATAAGCTCGATTTGTTTTTCAAACAAAAACATGTTTTTTTAATTAAATCTACCAATCAAAAAACAACACGCATTTTTATTGAACAATTCCTATTCAATATACAAAGTATTTCATTTATTTATATTAAAAGGATATTTACAATCACAAATCTAAATAGAAACAGAAAGTAGGCAAATATAATTCAAATGCTGGAGACGGGCAGCCCTAACGCATGTTTACGTACCGCGCGGCTGTAGGCATTTATTTCTATCATGCGGCCGAGTTACACTACTATATTATAATTGTACCGTGCCTATGTCCAGCAGTGGATATCTTTCGGCTGAGATGGTGATGAATATTATTAGATGATTGATTACTGTTATCGCATAGGTACTAAATATATGAATGATTATATGAAATGATTTTTTTTATTTTTATTATAATAAATTATTAAAAGAAATAAATTATGAAAAATTAATTATTTTTATTTTGTTATTTCAATTTTTTTTTTCCTTTTTTTTATAATTTTATTTTTTTAATAATTTAATTTTATTTATTTATTTCTTTTAATAATTTACTATACTAAAAATAAATAAATAATTTCCTCAAAAAACGGAATATATTTTCAACTACTGTATTTATACCGATGCCAATGGCCATTCGATGGCATCTCAATAGCGTGTCAGTGGTATGACAGTGGCTTGGCGTAAATAGCAGAATTGAGGCCCGGTTCTTGTGGCAAAGCTTGGTGGAGGCCTATGTCCAGCAGTGGATATCTTTCGGCTGAGATGGTGATGAATATTATCAGATGATTGATTACTGTTATCGCATAGGTACTAAATATAGCTACCGTTTGGGTTATGATTAAAATAGTAGGAAAATAATGATTACATTTTTTTTAAATATCACCTACTTAGCCAGTCGCTATCGAGTTTAAATTGTTTTTATTTAATATTGTATTTTTTCCGCTATTAAGTGGACAAATTATAATTATTGCCCTACATAGGTATATTTATTTCATCATCAAAGTAAACAGTAGGTACTAATGTCAGCTTAGAAATTTACAATTTTACATCAACATAATAATTTGGTTTTCTTTAGGTAGGTGCTATGTAACTTAATAAATTTGGACGAAGAACTTCAGAAAGTATATAAAAACGCCCATTAAACGCACTCATGTTCACTGTTTTCGTCTTTACATTCCCTATTAACAAGCAGCCGCTCGAAATTAAAACCAGTTTCGACCTATATAATTGGCGAGAACCGTTATTAAATACCTACCTACTTACTTTGTCCAACATATACCTTCATACAGCCGTTTCGATATCTGATTCGCAATGCCATCCAAGTTCGAATTTCGAATATTTACTTGGATAGTGTGAGGAATGGCAACGTTGAATGCCGAGGGAGCGGTATGGCAACGTCGCAACGCCATTTCGCTAGGTCCCCGTCTCAGTGATCCGGCGAGATCAGCTGTAAGAGTACTTGTTTGCGTGTTTACTATTATACGTATACCTAGGTATCTGTGTGCGGCAGGAATGGATTGTTTTGTATAGAATTTTGTTTGCTACTCGTCAGTTACGAGTGTGGGTGATTAATGTTTTCATCTGTAATAAAGTGGATGCCAAGTTGCGTAAAACGTATAGTGACATGAATAACTTAAATAAATGTAGTCACAGTTTAAATTTTAACATATTGATTAGGCCTTAAACAAACAATAGGAATAACTACGAAATCTACCAATCACTGGAGAATGTTGCCGATAAATCTGCTAGAACTGCCAAAGAATCAGTGTCTTTGACTCCACCTCTAACCCGACCAGTTAAAAACAAAAAAGAATTGTAGCCTAATAATAATTACCCGCCTTTTGGTCGAACATGGCTGACTATGTTTAACTACTAGAAAAAACTTATTGTACCTACTAAAATTAATGATGTTGTGTTTGGTTTTTTATAAATGAAGAACCATTATATATATTTTTAAATAATAATTTTGTAGGTACATACCAATTTTATATTTCTGTCTTAGGTTTTATAATAAAAAATCTAATATCAACATTTCTAGCGACCGATGTTTTAGTAAAGAAAGTCACATTGTTTTTTCAAGTTATTGATTGACATAAAAACAATTACATTTTGGATGTTTTATTTGTTAGGAAAGAAATTCTTCGATATTTCAATAGTACTAGGTCCTGGTGATTCTGGTTGTTCTGCGTCGTGTGCTAGTGTTACTACTAAACACTCTTTCGGTTCTTGAACGTCACCCTGGTCAGCCACATCGTACCAAGAAGGTCCGAACTGGGGGATCATCAAGGTATCAACAACTTCAGAAGAATATTTAGGCAGAGTACCTGTCCGTGCTCGATAGATAACATCAGATATTATTCTTTCAGCCTCGTATCTGACTGGTTCATCAAGTTCTTTTAGTTGTCGAGCGATGGATTCAGCGTACGAGGTAATGTAGTCCGGCGTGTCCCAATTGCCACTAGAATGATCTTGCCGTGAATCTTCTAATTTTTCCTTTTTAACTTTGTCTGTGAGTGATATTCGTCTTTTCTTTATTTCTCTTAAGGGCGTCTAAAAAAGAATTTTAAAACATTTAATAACTTATACATTTACCAAACCAGCTCCAATTTCTTATCACATTCCTATTCCATATGGACTGGTTAGAAAATATTTCTATTGTATTCTACATATATCTACGTATTACTACTTGGACTTTCTTAGATTTTTCCTTCTAACAGTGTACAATTTTAATTATACACTATCAAGGCATGGTACTTTATAAAAATAATTAATATTGAGTAAAAGACGTGATGTACATTGTATTTTTTGTTTCTTCATATTTATTTTCTCATAGTAAAAGAACTAAAATAGATCTAGTAGTTAGATACAATATTATTCTGTTTAGATATGACAAATGATGCTATGAATCTTTATACATCAGTATATATCAGTTATACATGCAATTAATTGAGAGGTTTAGCGGTAAAGAAATTTTACACCATATATTTTAATAAAACATGCTATTATATCATAAAATAAAGTTTTTTAATATAAAGTTTGTGTATAATCTAATTGCCAACAAGCCAGCTACGGACTATGTTGAACATGAGCATGTTCGGTAGCAATGCTAAAAGCTTACATTGTCATCTTCATCACTCGAATGGTTCGGTTTTACACTGAGAAATGTTAAAAGATTGTAATACCACAGCGTCGGTTGATGTATACTGTCTGGACTGCCACCATTCATCGTACTATTCTCCACCTATAAACGTCAAATCAATATGTCATACATACCATGAGTTCAGATACAAATAACAATTATAAACTTTACTTATCTAAAAGAATTAGGCCGTTAATATACCGGGTTACAAGAAAAGTCGTGCTAGATCCGTTAAGGGCGTGGAGTACCCATCATTTCTGACATATATTCGAGATAATCGTCTTTTAATTTTTTATTGAAATTTGCTGATTTTTAGGCTACTGCATTTATTTTTGTTTATTTTGTGTATCTTATTATTATTATTTTTGCATTTTTACATGTGTAATAAGATGCTTTAGGACGTCAGTCATTAAAATAGTTCATAAGTTAATTGAATAGATCGTAGTAGACAAGTGAAAGTAAAGAAATAAAAAAAAAAATTAGAAAATTATTTTTCTCTAACGGATATCTAAAAACAATATTATGATAATTGTTCGGCAGATGTTTTTTAAAATATCTACGTTTCATCAGCTATCTAACGAGGTATAATAATCTAAGGTTTTATTCAAATGCATTGAAAAAACTTTAGTTTCATAGGCGACAGTGGAGAAGAAAATTTATACTTAGCCCAAAAAAGTAAAATAAAACATTAGGTAAGCATGAAATGTCATTTATTAAAGGTTTCCACACAACTTTTTCTTATTCTACAGTTCATGTTCAACATGGCCGCCTCTATTTCTGATACATTGTCGCATCCTTCTACGGAGACCAGTCTTCACTACTCCAGTGGTCAACGTGGTCCTCATTTTATTTGCTGCATCCACAATCCTTTCTCGTAAGTCTTCCACAGACGAAACTGGATTCGGCTCGCTGTACACAAGACTTTTCATGCACCCCTATACATGAAAATCCATGGGGGTTAGGTCCGGACTTCTTGCTGGCCATGGCAACGGCCCACCTCGTCCTATCCATTTGTTTGGATAATTTGTGTCCAGCCAGTCCCTGACACTTCTCCTGAAATGGGCAGGGCAGCCATCGTGTTGGAACCACATGTCCCTGATCAGGTTGAGTGGCAGATCATCCAGCAAATCACTCAAGTCTGCTCTCAGGAAATTTTCGTAGCTTTCCCCATTTAGATTATCCGGGAGAAAGTAAGGTCCAATCAAATAATTGGAGATAATGCCCATCCACACATTCACGCTGAATCTTCGTTGGGACCCCTTCACTCTTTTCTTATTAGGATTCCTTAGTTCTTTTGGGGCCCAGTAATGGGCGTTGTGATAGTTAGTTATGCCATCTTTATCAAATTTGGACTCATCCGTCCACAAGATATTTCTTAGAAAATCTGTGTCTTCTACGTCAGCATTTAGCATAAATCTGCAAAAGTCCAATCTTCTCGCGGGGTCTCCTTCTTCAATAACGTGTACCGGCGTGTAATGGTACGGGTATACACTCTCACACTCTCCATTGCGAAAGTCCCAGATCACGGGCAACAATATTAGTTTAAGTAGTCGGATCCGCTCGAAAGCGTTGCACTATCTCATTGTTCTGTTCTTCGTCGTCAATTCGTGGTCTTCCCATGTCTGTATTTCGTGTCAAAACAGAGCCAGTTTCTCGAAGTCTTCGATAAACTCTGTCAAAAACGGCCACATCCGGCACTCGACGACCAGGGTAGCGAGTTATGTATTCGTTGCGAGCTTGTGCAGACACACAATCGCAGTATCCGTAACAAATAAGCATATCAGCATATTCCTCAGGTGTGTAGGACGTCATCTTCAACACTTCCGTATCACAGGTACAAATCAGAGTCCGGTTAACAAGCACAGTAGTCACAAATCAGAAGAAATAGTCCAGAATCACAGCCAAGTCGAGAAGAAGAGCAAAACGATATCACATCTACTATGTACGAAGCACAAAAGCAGACTGACAACTAGTGACAACCAAACAATGCCCCCTGTTGTATTCCCAGCCCTAACCGGTCTCTACAAATTTTTTCTTTCATTCGCACCTACATAAATCGTCACTTGTCTCGCTCGCTTGGTGCGTCTTAACTTGAAGGACAATAGGCGCGGGACCGTTAGAACTGTTACCTGGAGCGTCCCAACTACTTTTTTTCCACGAAATGTAATACAAACCCTAGATTGTTATACCTCGTTAGATAGCTGATGAAACGCAGATATTTTAAAAAACATCTGCCGAACAATTACCATAATATTGTTTTTAGATATCCGTTAGAGAAAAATAATTTTCTAATTTTTTTTTTTTATTTCTTTACTTTCACTTGTCTACTACGATCTATTCAATTAACTTATGAACTATTTTAATGACTGACGTCCTAAAGCATCTTATTACACATGTAAAAATGCAAAAATAATAATAATAAGATACACAAAATAAACAAAAATAAATGTAGTAGCCTAAAAATCAGCAAATTTCAATAAAAAAATTAAAAGACGATTATCTCGAAAAGGGTTAAGTTTAGGGTAGGGTGTTTCATAGTGAAATATGTCAGAAATGATGGGTACTCCACGCCCTTAACGGATCTAGCACGACTTTTCTTGTAACCCTGTATTTAAATGTTAGAAATAATTTAATTTAAAAATAGTTGAATGTCTTTTTAGGTTTACCGGATTTACAGAAAATGCTAGAAATCAATATTACTCTATGATAAATTAATTTATATCCTAATATATTTTCGCAATTTTGGTAAAACAAAAGCATAAATAAATGACAATTTATAAAAAAAAAACATTTAGTAAACATATAGTAATTTAATATAACAGAAGGCACATTTTTAATAGTAAGGCACAAGCGTACACGACATTAATTAAAAAAATAATGATTTTAAATGACCCTCCTGTAAAATTACAAAAAGTGCAATTTTGCCTTTGTCTTAGCCGAAGGTGCGAATTCTAGAACATGTAGTTTAAATAAACAAAATTTAAATTAAAAGGTAAAAAGAAAATATAAACTCACCTTCTTTCTTTCTCTTCTGTAACCAGCTCGGTAATGTTCAAGTTTCTTTTTTAAAGTTTCCACTGTGCTAAAAGGATCCAATTGCCGATATACGTTTAACATAATTTGGTATTGCTTTTTCCTTGCTTCTTTGTTGAAATAAGATGCGTGTGTAGTATCCCATAAACATGGCGAGTTCTTAAATTGTCTTAAGAGTTCAGTTACAATTTCTCTTTCTGTTACGACTTTTGCCATTTTGTTTTGTTTTACGCGGCAGTGACGTGCACTCGCAACGAGATGTCGTTTTACACTGACACTTGAATCGAACCGAATCCGAGCGGGACGCGTGATCCGGTTCGTGGTGAATACTTCTCGGAGAGGTATAATGTTTAAGCTTACCATCAGACAAGAGAGACAGAGTTTTAAATGAACACTTTAAAACTTATTGGTATAAAAAACATACAATATATTTTATACCCTACATTTAGGTAATATACATTTTTATTTCCTTAACTCTAGCAATTTATCGTTATTTTTAACTAGTAAAGTAGTTAAAACGTGAATAAGGTAACAAACATTAAAAAAAACACAAATTCACGTGTTTAAATATCACCCACATACTTGATTCCTACCGCCAATCTCGGTACTCCTTTACCATGGGTTTTTAAAATGGGTTTTTTTAAAGGTTCCCTAGTGAAAGACAGACTGATGAATAGACTCCGACGTAATTATATTTACCTCTTTACTTTTGGCAAAAGTTTCATACCAAGTTATGAAACTTTTTCCGAAATCGTCAAAGTCGGTGACACGGTTTTATTTTTGAGTGGCCTATTTTACGAGAAAATGAATAGCGAACTGAGTTTCAAGTTAAGATGAATACTTTGGATATTTTTATTCAAAATCGATAACTATTCCAGTTTGTGGAAGGCTGTTCAAAGACATAGTATTGACCTGATTGCCACTGTGGAATTAGAATGGTTTATATTTTTACTAAAATTTAATAAATTAATGGTAAACCTACTATTATGTGTGTCAGTTTGCTTACATTGAAAAAAATAATTGTTGTCTGTGTTTGGTACCAAACTAGTCCATTGTTCTTTAATGACGATAGGTAATTGATTATAATTATCTATTTATATTATTAGCTGTGTAAGTATTTAATATCATATGGTTTAGGTATACATACCTCCACGAATTAATACTGTTTAATATAATACGATACATTTATTATGAAGATTAATACCCAATTAGTATTACAAAATAAACTTTCTTACATATTTTTTAATTAACAGATTTTAGCAGCCATGGCTTAATAATTCATACATTTAATTTCAGCGTTAAGTCGTTCGTATGCTTAGCAGTGCATTTCTAATTGAATGTCGTTTATAATATATTCCTAAAGGAACATATCAGTTATAGAACAAGAGTATTTTTTACAATATTAACAGCCAAATGGGGTAAATGCCAGTTCGATATTTCTGTGGTAAATTACAATATATAGACATGGTTACCTACTACTTCCTTGTACCGACTTAATAGACGCTACTGACAATACTATAATACTATATCCACTCTTTTTCCTTGTCAACTCTTTTCACTTTAGTGAAAATGGAAACGAATCGACTATATAGAAATCGTAAAAGCGAAACTATATCAACCCTAAGAGTCGAGGGGAACAAATCTTCCTTAGCTGTTTTTTTTTAATGAATATACCGCAGAAGTAATTGTTTCTATTTGTTATTCCATTCAGTAAAAAAAAAATACTTACAAACACATTAACGTCATCAACGTAAACATTAGACCAGATACTAAATCGATACATGAAAGTAAATACAAAAAGCATGCTCGATACGCTCATATGAAATATCGATATAGCACTACACCATACATCGATATTTAATACATTTTAGGCGATACGGTTTGACATAAAACTAAATTTAAAAAATTCCGTCAACGTTTTCATATTTTTTTAAGACTCATGTCATCATGAGAAAGAAATTATAAGCAGTGCTACAACATATCGTTAGTCCTAATAAGAGATCCTAATGACCTCTTTCTATTTGTAGAGTAAAGTTTTTGCCCGCGGCCCAGCCGGCGTATGTGACAGTTATCGCGATAAACAGTAGCCTATGTTGCCTATTGCATTTATAATATTAGTAGAGAAGAGCAATTTAGCTTCGTTCGTATGTAGAGTTACATTGCTTCAGGTAGATCTTTGTAAGACGACTCAGGCGCCGGAGGTCGCAGAATGACCTCCGTCCTCCATAAGCGTAGGCCTGGGGGTGGTAGGTGAGGCCATCTGTCACCCTAGCAGAAGCAGGCCGGGGTGGTGGCAAAGGTGACATAGGGGTTCCTACAGAGGAGGGGGTCATTTACACGCCGTAGATGGCCCGAGGTACGTCGGGGTATCAGGGTTTTCCTTCCTAGGGTACACCTGGTTCCCGGCAACTGGTACCCGAGACGGCGTGCAGTTTTTGGTCGGTTCGAGTCCGACATAACCACCGGTATCCGAGGGGATTTTAGCACAGGAAAAAAAAGGTAGATTTTTGTAGTACCATCAAATATTAGACTCGTATTAACAAAGTTTATTATGTGTGTATATGTGATATAGTCATTATAGAATATATCGATGCAAAGGAATGCAAGAACATCGTCGCGTATCGATACAAAAGCAACGTTACAGTTATGATACGATTATATTGATACAATAATATTTTTGTGCATCCAGAAGACAATGGGAAGAACAGGTTTCACGACAATGTGAATTGATTTGGCATAACGAATATTAAGCATCTTGTAAATAAAAAAAGTCACTGAGGATATTGTAAAGCACAATTACTAGCTATAAAATAGTTTACTGGTGTGATAGAAAGTTGAGTGTGCAGAAAGCTAAGTGTCGGTTGTATCGTACACTAAGTATATACTTATCTTAAATCTGCATCTACAACTTGGTCTTACAAAAATCATATGCAATTTATTCCAGATAGTAGTTCCAGAGATTAGTACGATCAGCCCAGAAAATCTTAATTAAATTAATGTAGATAAAATTTAAAAATAAAGATATTGTAAAATAATCTTGCGCACCTGATATTTTAATAAGATTTTTAAGTTTTCAAGACAATGCGGTCTGACTGGGGAATGAATTCATAAACATACTTGTTAGGTCAATTACCTGCTTGTATAATTAACGAACGCTTTTAGACACATAATTAAAAACCCCAGTAGTATTTGAAGTAGACGTTATTTTATGTATCACATCATATGCAAGGGAATTCGGATAAAGATAATTTGTGGAAACAGAGCTAATAAGTGGAGAACAGAGACTGATGCGATACAACTTTATTTTATAAAAGAAACTCAGCGTTTTTTAAATTCGCATACATTTTTGAGGCAAAAAGGATAAATTAAAAAGACAATGTGGACTGATAATGCTCACTATCGGACTCAACAAATAATTGTTCCATGAGAGCATACACGTTGACGAGGTAACATTATAACTCACTGTGCCGTCGATGTAAAAGTTTAAAGCAAATCACGTGTTGTAGAGTTGAATGTTAGCAAAAGTTTCAATGAGAGGGACCTTGAAGGGCACTCAGTCATGACCAGACGCCCGGCTCAATAATCTTTCATAAGCTTTAACCGATCATATATTAATTTGATTAAATGTGTGTTATTGGAAATAATACATGTTAGTCTTTCACGTGTTTTGTATCAAAGTTTTCTTGGGACCGTCATATAAAATTCTGTATTTTCACTACTTTGTATGTCTTATATTCCTATGAGTACTCATTTCCTATAGGATGTATGTTCATATAATTTTATGTTTGTATATTCATATAACTATGTCCTATCTACAACTAGTTTACCTATTTAATCGAAGTATCTTCAAGTGGCTGGGTCTAAATGAACATCAATTGTTTCGGCGTATCTACCCAAAGTCTAGATAGAAAACTAAGTCTACCTCAAAGAAAAGATTTACTTGCAGAAATAAATATCATATTTTAACAAACCCTTCTAACAATAACTAAACAATTTAATCATAGTGCAATATGTTGTTCTAATTTTACTCCCTGTTTTTCTTATCAACAAAAGGAACTAAAATAAATCCATCCCCTTAAAACTTAAACCATTTGTGTAAAATGGTTTAAGTTTTAACATTATTAGAGTTTTAGACCAATTTCATTTGAAAATCACATGGCGAATAAATAATAAATTCAACTTATACATTATTATACATTGAACAAATCTTCTGTCGAATTTGATAATTGTTTGTAATAAAATAACTAATTTGTTGTATAATCCATATTGATATGTCTACAACCCTATTTGGTATGTCTCCTAAGTTTTATAATTAAAAAGATACAATATTTATTGTTTTATTTCAAAGTGCCATTAATATTTGAATCCTATCATATAAATATCTAACACTAGGTAAACTCGATGGGTAGGTTTCACTTGCACCATTGGTAGGATATTTCCCATGGTTAGATCATTTTAAATATTTGGTTTTTTTATCCGTAAAGTACGAAGTCTTTTCGAGTCTCCATGGAAATTAATCACACATTGTACAACTTGCTTAACCGCACTGAACCCACCATTTACCTATATATAATATTGATATTTAAACTAATCCGTTGTGTTCATATTTAAGTCATCACATCAATAACTTTTAAATAAATACTATAACTTCCCCAGAAGTTACTTTCGAGTTCCTGTTGTATTTTCTTGTTAACGCTAAGTTAGCAGCAAACAATTACTCGTACTAAAGAGTACAGTTACAAATTAATATAAAGGTTGATATTTCACTCGAAAAGTACTTTAATTTTATACGTTTTTAACATAACTTGACTTTTTAGTCAAGTTATGTTAAACTTTCATGAGTGACAAGTTTTCTTAAACTATAGTGGACTTAATAATGCTTTCAATAGTTCAAACATTTTTGAAGGTTTCATATTATGTATTCTGTTCAATTCTTAGAGATAAGAAAAAAAAATCAAGTAACTCTCCTTGCTTGCTTGTTTATAGTTCAGAATTAGTAGTCTTGCCTATAATTATAGTTAAGACCAATTGTAATTAGTCACAAACAAAAATTATGAAAAGTGAAGGAGATATTACATCACTATTTAATCTTAAATAATTAGTATTCAAACATTTTATAAGTATGTAGATATAAAATATATTGTCTTTGCAATTTCCGATGGTTTAATTGATATTTTACTTAACAATAACATTGATATACATATTAAAAAATTAGAGTTCCTTTTAAAAGACAACTTCCGCACTAGGAATATAATCCTGTATATTGTATATTTTGACTCAGGACAAGAATTTGTGGATCACACAAAGTAATGTCCTATGTGGGGATCCAACACAACACTTAGCGCAGTGGGAAGCGGCGAGGTGACAGCATAAACCACTGCGCCATCCGTGCAGTCAATTGTTCATCAGAACCTATAATAGTCGGTAATTGGGGGATCGTGTCCCTACTACTCGTACTACTACATAGTTATGTTATTGCAACTTTTATATTTATAACTTAAGATATAAAACAAATAAACTTTTTATAAAAAAACGAATGTCATCATTTAAAATTATCCAGTTATCATCAATAGGCCACGTGAACAGTAGATTAGCCAGACTGAGTTATTTATGAACTTCGTTTTGTAGGCGATGACACGAAGACACGTAATGGATTGTGGTGATGTCATGTCGTATCAAGTTAAATAATTGCGTTTTAGAAACTGAAATGGCACCAAAAAAAAAACTATACTTGCTAATTATGATATGAGGCGGACCTGCATACTAAGTAAATGTGGCATTATACTAAAGTAAGCATATATTTAATATTAATTTGTAAGTTAATTTGAGTGGACAATCCAGGCTGCACTGCACTCAACCTTTTTTTTTTTAATTACTTTAAACTTGAGGTATGTATGCAAACTCTAAAAAGCATACACAGCAATAATATTTATACTCGTACATATGTGTATTGAACAAAAAAGCGTTTTAGTTAGCAACTCGTGTAAGTTACGAGATTTGTTGATTTGTATTAGTCATTCTAAGTGCCATTACCTTTTTTTCTTGTGCGGAAATCCCCCATCCCCAGCCTGCTTCTGCTAGGGTGAAAGATGGCCTCACCTGTCACCCCCAGGCCTGCGCTTATGTAGGACAGAGGTCGTTCTGCGTTACCTGGGCACCGGGGGGGGGGGGGGGGGCGCAAGGGCGTTCTAAACCACTTCCGGTTCCGCTTCGCCATCTCCTTCGCAATCATAACTTGCTCGCAAGAGGAGACGGCGGAGTGAGAGGGCGGTATGAGAGGGTTCCGTGACGACTCTCGAGCCAATCCTCCATAACTGGTCTTACCGCCGCAATAACGGTGTGGTGTTATAACATCGTAGCTCCCCAATGGATAAACCGATTTTGATTTTGTTTGAAAGGGGCATTATTTGGGAGTGTTCTTAGCTATGTTTAATGGAAATCGGGCCAAGATGGCCGCCGCCACAAAATGGCGGTTTTAATTTTTTATCACAACTCCCTCAATATGGGTCTCAAATGAAAGGGCTTGATTAGTAAAATACTATGCACTACGACAAATTTCAAATCCAAGATGCGTGTAGGGGGTTTTTTAAATTTTATATTTACCCTGCCTAAAGGCCCCCTATTAACATTGCATCGTTCGTCATCACAAAAAGTATAGAGTAATACGGTGAGATTCAAATATCGTCCGTAGATCATTTGATTCAACATCAGAATTGCCAAAGCTTACTTTACATTTTTTTATTAAATATGAAAATATTTAATAAATCTCTTTAAGTAAAGGCTTATGTCCAGCAGTGGACTATTAAAGGCTGTTGATGATGATGATGAAATATTTTGGATAGTATATTTGCATTTGAAGAATAATTATAGCATTTATGTTTATTAAAAGGTATTAAGAAAAAAAAACATATGACACTAAAACTGTATTTAATTAGTTCTATCCACATAAACTGAATCACAATACGTTGTTAAAATGGAATACACCTAGGCCTCAATTCTGCTATTTTAATTTTGTATCAATAGACTGTCGATGGACTATCATCGCAATAATTTTGCACTTTTCGTATCCTACAAACTATGTAAAACCAATGGCCTATCGATGACTTGTCATTGAAAAACACTAATACAAATGTCGTCGATGTCTTCGTTATAGTTTGGTAGACGGTACATTTTGTAAGGAAATGATATAATTATTTTTCTAGATATGGAAATGTTGTGGGTATCACTCACTATTGATGATCTATATCGACAGGCTATTGACATTGTGAATTTATGTTAGTAGAATATCGATATTTTGACCGATGTTAATAGCATCTCAATAGCGTGTCAGTGGCTTGTACGTTAACATAAAATAGCAAAATTGAGGCCCTGGACTGCAGGTGTTCAACTTCTAACTTGCAGCCGTTGCTATTCAATTACTAGTATAAAATAAATTAAGCCTAAGTGTGCAGTGAACATTAATTTCTGTACACACGTAATCATAAAATGCAATTATGGTAACAACATGTTTATACTCCTTTCTTAGTCATTCTGTTTGTAATCATATCAATGACGATATAATACATACTTATATTATTATGAAGTTCGCAGGTGATTCAATATTATAGATCAACGTCATTTTTATGACAACAATAAAAAACCGTAAAGCGTGGTTACTGACAATTTTCTGAGTCACTTTGGCATGAACTTATTTTGACTTTTAAATCTAGGAATCTTCTTTTAATTTCTAGGTCGGAAAAAATCTCACCACGGCGTAGTCGATTCGTTATAGAAACTGGCAAAGGACAAAAAACGTTGAAGAGGATGGGTACTTGTGAACTATTTGTAAATGCGGCTATAGACATAATCAACTAAAGAGGGATTGGGTCAATAAAGCAAACGCGAAAGTTATATGAATGTCAACGATGTCAAGATTCAGACTGTTATTTTGAGAAATTTTATGTTTGATTTTATGTGTTAGAAATAATACAAACTCAACAAATTTAACAATGGTTCTGTTCCACTGAATGTTTGTTTTATTTTACAAATTCACATTATTTTAAAGGTTTCATACTTAACTCACATCAGAAAGGGTGTAAAAGTATCCCTATACTTCAGGTAATTTCATTATCTTTAAAAAAGGCGGATCTGTAGGCTGTGTTATTTTGTACATCTCAAAGCTACGAATTAATTTTTTCTTGATTACAGAAAAAATCCAAATACATGTCAAAGATCCTTCGATATCTATAAAAAAGTGCATATACCTATACAGTTTAATTTTTGGCACACTGCCTTGGCGGATACTAAACAAAGGGTTACTTCTCGACTTATTCTTCTAATACTGTGAAATAAATGTATATCTATGTAGCTACATTGTCTTCGAGAGACATGTCAATATAATGTGCAGTTAGAAAATAACCTTATTAAAAAGTTACACATTAGCATATTCTACCTTATTTAGAGTACAGTTTAGCATAATGAGTATTACTAACTCATAAATTCGTAGAAGTAGTTTTATTTGGTTTCTAGAGAACTATTTTCTAAAGTCAAAACAGCTTAATTCTTATATCAGAGGTGTCAGAATTGATTTAGATAATATTTCGTAAAGTAGGTAGTTTACATCTAGCTAAAAACTTATCTTTGTATTCACTCAAAGTTTTCACATAATTGTATCACTCGCGGTCGCGAGTAGATTACACTCGTGATCACGATCGATTTTTATAAATTCGTAGTATTGTTAAAACATAAATACTGACGAATCAATCAATTAATCACTCTCTCAGTCGAAGAATCTTATGTTCTTTGTACCTCTAAAAACGATGTACACAATTACGTCTAACGAGAACTACGAATGTCTAACCAGTGGTGTCACTAGCGGTACGGGAGCGTTTCGACCGCCTGCCATTAGCATGCGTCGGATTCACAAACTCAATTTCGTCATCTTCACTTTCATCATCGTCGACATCGACGGTATGAATATCTCCTGATACAATACTGTGGTTATCGTTATGGTTGGTGGTAGTGTACCCTGGCGAAGATCCTGCGACTAGCGATTCCTGTAAATCCTTACAACTCTGCAACGCATTCAACTCGGCATTCGAAAATAATTTTGCAAGTTCAACTTTTAACAAAGCTTGCTGTCTAAGCGAGAATGTTTTGAATGTCTGTGAATAACTTAAAAATAAATGATCCGTTGCATCATAATTTTCTACTTCTTTCTTTACCTTTTTGGATCTAAGGTAGCTTAGACTTTTTTCCTGATCTTGTGTTTTTCTTTTACGACGTGGAGTTTGCGAACTGCGAAACGGGCCAGAGTCTGACGGCGAAGGAATAAGTATGGAGGCAGGCGAGTACGACTGCGACGGTGTTTCCGATTCATCTTCTGATAGCTCCAAAGCTGATGCCAACGACATATTTGCGTTTTTACTTTTCCGTGATACTTGATATTCATCTAGAAATTTTAATTGTGAGCTCCATATGTAGTTGATGACCTTCTTGTTGCCCTCTTTTTGTTGTTTTTTGAACTTTATGTAGCCATCTCTTACCGTTTTCCATTTCAATTTTACTGTTTCACCTAGAAACATATAAAGTTGTTTAGGAGACAAAGCTCTGATCAAAATGTAACTTTGATGGTTTAATAAACTTATTTGTTTTTGAATGGTAGGTATTTTTTTTTAGTACCAAGTTGTGCTAATGTTTTATTAATAAATATACATAAATAAATAGCATATTACGGTATCAACTTTTGGTATACCACTACTACCCTATGTAAATTATAGATCTAATTTTGATGTCTAAAAAAGTTTGCAATATTATCCGGAAAACAGTGTCATACACTTTAGGGTTTAACTACATATTTTTTTAAACCGTTTTAGATGGACAACTTGCCCGTTTTGCGTGCGCGTGAGGAAACAAATACCTACAAAGTCAAGAACGACATCCAAGCAATCGATTAAACATCTAGAATAGGTAGATAGATGTACTCCACACAAGAAATATTATCATTCTTCTACTAATAGTAGTACGTTTTCGCGTGCTAAGTTCAGTGTCGTTCATAATTTGTAGGTACTAGGTACATAAGTACATTTAGTAATATTTAATAAAAAATAGACATTTTAATGTCTAAGATAATATAATGGCTTCTAAGAAACGGTGGTTTCGGTATTGTAAAAAAGATCGTGACTATTGCAACTATACTTCTATTGATGATGAATGTTAGCAAAGTATGTTGGATACAGTCATAACCATTATTACTCACGAATTATTTGTAATAGTCGACTAATTACTTGTAATATTAAAATAGTAACATACTTGTGTACCTATCAAATTTCGATACCAGTTTTGCATTCGTTCATCATCATCATCGATAGCCTTTAATAGTCCACAGCTGGACATAGGTCTCCTTATAAAGAAGGTTTTGGCCTATTATACTACGCTGGCCAGACGGGTTGGTATAAGGTTTGTATCAAGTTTTCCTTCTCTTTGCAGTGCTGTCCTGCGTAGTTTGCTCCCTTAGTTAGCTCTCTCCCAAGGGATGAATAGGGGGTGACACTCCGTATTCTCAATCCGTCACCACACGGATCGCAATTGTTAACGTTAAAAAAAGGAACCTGTCAACTTTTGTCCTTCTTAGAGATTAAATTATCTGTGTAATGAAACATTTTTATAACACTATGTGTAATACACTCAAAAGTATCTATGTATTTTTATTTATAAGCATGAATGAAGATTCTTCATATTCCTAGCAACATAATACATACATACAAACCCAATATTCATGGAACGCGTTGAACAAAAGCTGTACTATTTGAGGCTAAAACCGAACATCAAACAAATGAATCAAATCAATACTAAAAAAAAAAGGTCCGAGCCCGAATGTTATTGTTACCGTAACATAAACACTGTCACACTATCATTTATGTCTTATGCATTGAAAAGAGAGAGAGAGCGGGATAAAAGCATTCCTATCGCTATGATACTGTCTCTTTTCAATTACGCGGAAGATAGTGGCAATGCTAAAGGATGTATTTACGTGCTTTGTATACTACGTAATGTTACTCGCTACACCTAAGATTGCAGTACAGCCTTTAAAGTTAGTAAGTTAAGTTAACTAGTTAATACGAGAAACCATTATACTTACTATTCTCGTTTAATTGTACGGCTATTTTCTCCCATACGGCCGCCTTTCTTGTAGTATTCTTGTAGTCTGTATGTCCCAAGTCGTAGAGGAAAACGTGCTTCTTCACACACTCGATCAGGCGTTCTACGTCCATAGCCATTGTGCTGTTAAGTTCTTATATTTTTTGTTATGGGGTGGATTTGTGTGTTGTCGTGCCGTCCCGACAAGAACGTCGTGTCCCGGGCGTTCTGAGCCGACTACTGCCATACCGATCGAAGCCCGCGTCCCGCCCCGCCAAGCCGCGCCGCCGCGTCGCCACCCGCCGAGCGCACTAGTCGGGTGAAGCTTCGCTAGGGGGAAGCTGATATTCAGGGGGCGGTTTATTGTAGACTTCGAGTATTGTTTCATACATTTTGTGAAATATAGGTCATGTGCAGGTCATGTTTTGGTGTGATATTCAGTTGTTTATGCATATAGAACTAAAGCTAAGTTATTGAGGTGTCATTTTTGAAAAAAAAAATATGATTCGTCGCTTAGCCGTTCTGATATACGAATATGTAGTTGTATTTGTCTTTAGACTAAGTTTCGGCCGGCGAATCTTCCTGATAACAATCTCGTTGTCAGGAGTCACTGGGTTGGTGCTGTGCTGTTCCCATTCCACGGGCAAACTAATCGATGTGGAACAATGACTATTTCGTATGATTCATCCGTTTATATTTTGACATGGAAATTGATAAACTGAATTTACGGACATAAAAGTACGTTGATTTATGCGGTAAGTTCCGGGCCCCACGACGGTCTTTACATAATTGCTGTTTAATACTTAAATTTAACTTAATACTTAATAAGAAAACGATGATTGGTCAAAATATCACTACAGAATGTATAAAATAGACGGTAATTTATAATTCATTGGCGGATTTGCTGGTATAGCTGGAACCGTTGGTCGAACGGTTTTTCATTCCGTTAAATGGTAAACAGGTTGAATACTCAACGGTTAGGTGATAAAACTTTTGTCACGTGTGGATGTAGCGTTAATGATATGGTAGTTAGCCAACTCGTTGAATAGTATAATTCTCTTAGTGGGCTAAAATTATGCTAGAAAAAAAGATACGCTCTTAATCTTGATAAGTTTATGTGATCAAAATTCAAGTTTTTAAAATACTTTACTTAGTAATTTTTTTACAACGAGGATTAACCAACAGACAATTAGAATATCAGAATAGAATAATAAATTTATAATTAATATAATGTAGGTAGTTATATAAGACGGCTTTTGTGGTGTTAGGCAATAACTAGTGCTACAAGCAGCTTTTCTAATTATCGCACAATCTATAGGTCGTTTTCAACTAAATAAATTAGACATAGTTGTATTTCTTTGTAGAAGTTTATCATACATGACAGAATGTCAGCACGCGACACAACATGTCCTTACTATAGACTATACTGTATGGATAGATATTATAAAGATTTAGTCAGGCAGTTGCTACCCAAACCTATTTTTTAATATGTAACCTAAGACTATATACAGTAGGTGACTGATGGAATCTAACCAAGGCTATTCTTTTAAAGTTGTCAAAAATAGCAACTGTACCTAGAAAAAGTACGTAATCAATCATCGAGGGACAATTGTACTTATAAAACACAATCGCGAGACTGGATGCCTGAACTATTTATAATATGTACCTACTTTGTACGTAACAATCGGTGGGCGAGTCCGACCTGCACTTGTCCGGTTTTTCTTATAGTTTACGTTTAGCAAAAAACATCTTATTGTAAACTCACATTGAAATCCCTCCTTCTTGCGTCATTGTTCTCAATTCTGTGGTTTAACATTGCATTGGATGTAACAAATGCATTGTATATTCTACTATACTAAAGGCCATGCTTATTATAGAGCGACTATTTCTGTCCTAAGGTTATCAGGATTTATTTTAGTACCATTTAGATGGTCATACAACGCCAGCAATGCGACTCTGGACATTCATTCAACTGCTTTTGGCCAGAAATAGAAAAACCAGGTAAGTGGAAAACCTAAATAGAAATAGGTTTTAGTTAAGTAGCGTTTAATTGAATAAAAGATACGATGGTAGATACTTAACGTTTCATTAATAGCCGTCTTTGTTTTATTATATATGAAGATAGATTGACTGTGATAACAAAGTGTACGGTATTGGCAAGCAAAATTGACGCGTGACATTCACTCAGAGTTACAAATATCAACTCGTGTTAGTACAACTTTTTATGCGCCACCGTTACGTCATACCTACACTTTTTTTTGTATGTGTTATTTCTGTGGTAAGAAATATGCCAAAATTAAGCCAACTAAATGCGATGAAGCTATAAATGCTGCAGTAACATTAAATTTTTGAAATATAGCTACTCTCAGGAATCTATGTCTATGAATTTTATCAAATGTAAGCCACAAAGGTACGATTAAAAATAAACCATCGCTAAGGATCGGACGATGTGGATGACTAAAAAAAAAATACAATGAATAAAAACATGTTCTTTTTCAACTTTACGCATTATTATTACCTACATCCTACATGCTTATTGCGTGCCTGGTACGTTAAATAAACATCTGCCTTTACTTGCAAACGCACCAATAACCATATTGAAACTTAAAAATGCACACAAAGTCAAGTAATTTCGACAGCTGATTGACGACAATGCATGACAATTAAACAAGCATGGTCATGGACGTAAATTGGCTGTAAGGGACTGACAATAATGTAACAGTTAAAAATTTACAAAAAAATGAATTATACATGTTTTTAAATAAAATTATTGTCAAGCATAGATGACAACTTTGATCACAAATTACGCTATTTGAAAACATTGCTGCGTTCTGAGTGTGTAACTATGTATGAATTAGACGTATGGTACTCTCGCGAGAAATGAGCACAAAAGTCAAGACTGTCTTACTCTGAATCAGAAAAACGGTAAACTGGCAAAACGCACTACAGAGCAAACTATGTTAAACATCTACAGACGAAGTTCTATTTTTAATTATAGTAGTTAGTAGTTTTAATTTAGTTATAGTAGTATAAAGTAGACTTGCAACGAATAGTATATTCGGCAGTATACCGAATATTCGGCGAGGCCCCTGACCGAATAGCCGAATATTAGGCAAAAGTATTCGGCTGGATTTTAGCGCCAAAAACTTGTACAGACGTGAATTAAATTATGTACCTGTTTTATGTACCAATGACTACTTAATAAATGATTATAAAAGAAATGAGAACCTTACCCTTCTAAATTTTGATTACCACAATAATTCAAATACACAGAATCCTCCATTTTACCTATTCAGAAGATGATTATGTACCTGTGTTATGCACCAATGACTACTTAAATGATTATAACAGAAATGAAAATATGAATATATACGTAATCAATCGATTTAAATTTTTCATTTTACCAATTATTTCTCAATGACAAAATATATTATTTAAGTATTCGGTATTCGGCCGAATATACTAAAAGCAGCCGAATAGGCCGAATACCAAATAGTAACCGAATATTCGTTGCAAGTCAAGTATAAAGTATTCTACTTAACATGCTTTTTGAGCGCAGAAAAAACGCTGATTTTTATATTCGTTATAGTTATTCAGTAATTTGATATAATATACAAACAATAGAGAATACGAATTTAGAGAATTTTTCATATTTTTTTATTAAAAATACACATACACATCTTTTTAATGGGACAGGATGACTTCATATAATTATGTATTTTACGCGTATACGTCATGTACTATTGTAGTTAACAGTGCAATGTCTTCAAAACTCTCAGAATACAAGAAAATCCCTTTAAAAAGTTGAACCGTCTTCAAAACAAACTAACAAAGAACGAGTTATGCCGGAGTTATGCCATACATAAAAAATATGACGGAGTTATGCCATACATAAAAAAAATTCCTCCTCCTTTTTGAAGTCGGTTAAAAAGAACTTAAGTGGTCGAATGAGGGCGTGCCAGCATACTGTGGAAAAAGCAATTCAACGTTTGTTGTATATCTGGTTATTTTACCGTTCCTTGCCTCAATATATGTGTGTACTATACGTACGAGCGTGTGTGATCCTGGTGCAGGGCTGTCACAAAAAGTTTCGTGATACCCACACGTAAAAAGTTTTTAGATATTCTAGACTTTTTGGTGATTGTACCTTAATGCTAATCATAATAATAATAAAAAAGTTGGTAAAGTTTGTTACAAGAATATGGTTCTTTTTAGTTTTTTAAGGTAGTATGTAGAATTTTATGTTTTTTTAAAATAAGTATCACATACAGTTCTTGTAGGGGTTCGCCACATTTTTCCTCATACCTCCGCATGACATGTGGAGGGATTTACCTCATGCCTCCACATGTCATGCGGAGGGATGGGAAAAATGTGGCGAAGAAAGTTTTAAGTATGGGAGTTGAAGGGTACAAGAGAAGAGGCAGACCGAAGAAAAGGTGGATGGACTGCGTGAGGGAGGATATGGCTAGGAAGGGAGTAAACAGTGAGATGACGCATGACAGAGCAGAATGGAAAAATCATACATACTGCGCCGACCCCAAATAAAATTGGGAAAAGGGTAGGCAGATGATGATACAGTTCTCGTAGGAGGTCACTCTGGGGTTCTGTATGAACACCAATAATACAGAAATAAATAACATTCCTGGACACGAACCTACAGTACTCTATATCATTGTTGTTTTTGTAATTTAATTTCTGTATAATGTCATAACTAATTTTATATTTGTTACTATAAAATTGAACACTGTGTTCAATAGCTCGGTGTGATGAAGTAACATACCTCAATTGTGAGTTGAATTCAATTACTACCTCGTACTTTAGACATGCGGTAATTGCATATTAATCCTGGTAATTCAATTAGTTATTAAAATGTACACATAAAATTTATTTTAAGTGTTTTCTGCAATACGGTTTGGGTACTGAAATGTTGTAACTGTTAGACCATAAAGCCGGGTGAATGTTCTTTGACGGGTGTACTTCTCTTTTATTTATTACGTAGTCTTTTTATCATGAAACTGTAGTTTTAATATAAGTCCAATCCTTTTCCAAGTCCAGTCCAATTATTAATAAAGGAGTAAATTGCGGACGTTAGGAAACCTCAAACCTAGTGTACCTACCTAAAGTAATCCTGTTTAATCGCCGAATTAAGCACTTTCTATGACTTCGGCTCTTAAGCGTATTAACTTTTTTGTATTTGCGTCGAGGTACGTCAAAAGAAGAAGGAGACCAATATTTATACGATTTAGTCATTATTTTGGTGCAAAACCTTCCCAATTAATTTATTATGGTTGTTGTGAAAAATTGGATACAAATAATAGTATAAGTTCCTTTAGTATCGTAATGGTAAAGTGTGTAAGTGAATATGGGTACCTGTGCATTGGCTGTGTCCGTTGCGAGTACTGCGCCATGTCGTGTGTTGCGCAGCTGTCATGGCTAGGCAGCACGCATGCCGCGGCGGGCGCGGATCGCTAGCTGCGCGCCATCCCGCGCGCGATTTGCACGCACAACACAAACACACACGTATGCACACACACCACTGCACACGATCGACGACACTGCACCAATAACCTGCCAACAAACATCACATATTACGGTCTCTGCACACTACGTACATAGATATTGCTAAAATGCATAACCAAAGGCGAAATTAAGGTGAAAGTACTTTCAGGTGTCGAGAAAAGGGCCATTATGAATGGACTTTTATGAACGTGAATTGTTCTCAAACTTAATGCGTTATGGTTTTGCGTATACTATTTAGGTAAATTATTATTTAGGTTTGGTCAGAAATAGCTAAAACCAACATACAAATGTATTTAAAAGTAATTAAAAGACACTACGATACAAGATTGAATCTCTAAACTGTCGGGAATACCTATCTGTTAATAACATACCTACATACGTTATCGTTTGAGAAAGGCAACCTCGCGGATAGACGTCACTCGGTAGTATGTCGTTTGGTGTTCGTGTAGACAAAAAAGCTTACTTCCAAATAACTTATATCGAATTTTATATTTAGTATAAAAACAAAAAAAAAAGATATTGTCATTGTTACAATTTATGACCATTGACATGAATATCAATATTGCTTGGAAATAGGCCACCATTTATTATGAAAATACGGCAAAAAATGCTCTCGTGCGTAGTTAACTTCGTGGCGCTACTCGGTAGGTAGGTTCTATGACAAAAATGAGACAAAATTTAACATGGCTCCATTGAAACGAGAATGAACATTTACATGTAAGCCATAGGTTGTACTCATATAAGTACTTCTTTTCCTATGGATGTTATTAATTCGGTTTTCGAGCATTCTTGAGTACATAGTATGACCACACGTTTGACTACAAAAAGAGGCATATGTGTCGAGGTCGTTACTCAATAACTATAATAATAGGCTTACAAAAGAGAAACCATGAGTGCAGTGCATTCAATAAAAAAAAACCGATCTAGTGCAAGTCGAGCTCGTGCGCTGAGGGTCCGTACCTACCCAGATTTTACGTAGATTTTCGCGTAAAACTTGTAAGTACCAAAATTTACTTAAATTTCAATTTTTTGGAAGAAAAAATAAAAAAGAATAAATCTGCAAAATTTCACATTTGTAACTTAAAAATAAATAGTAAAAATCCAGAATCTTTAAACGCGATTTCCCAAAAAACTACTTTTTTTTATTATGCCTTTATATTACTAAACAGATACTGATACTGACGGATTAAGAATACGGAATGTCACTACCCCAATTCATCCCGTGGGTGTCATAAGAGCCCACTAAGGGCGCAAAACAACGTAGCACACCAGCACTGCAAAAAGAAGGAAAACTTGACACCAGCGTGGTATAGTAGGCCAAAACCTCCTTTGTAAGGAGAGGCCTATGTCCAGTATTGGACTATTTAATTAAGGGCTGTTGATGATTACAAAGAGATTGCGATATTTAATGAGTTATTAGATATGAATTTATTTGCAAATATTTGTGGGTACATGTTCTTAGCTATTGTTTCGGACAGTACCTGGCCAAACGCGAAACACAATTGCCCACAACATCAATAATAATTATCCAATATAACTATTAAAAGCACACTTATATGGTTTACTAATGTTCTTTATTTTCTTGCCTATCAGTATACATACATATAATTAATTATATGTATTATACATGTAAATTCTTTTACAAAATATTTATGTTTATGGAATATATAAGAACAAATTTATAAACACGAGTTAAAATATAAATTAGTGTGTTAGAAAAAAAACTTCTTGAGACATATGTACTTGAATGTTATATAACTTTATATTATCTAATTTATTATATTGAAACATGTATTATGTGAAAACGTACAAATTATTAAGTACAGATAATAAAATTGCAGATTATTTTTTCAAGGTCAATTAAAGTACTTTATTCTTGTGACAGCATCTCTAAGTCTTGATATATTAACAGATTTGATTTAGAGGTTTTACTGCCTTTTGTAAATCGTTTTTTAAACCAAAAGCACAAAAAATGAAAGTGGTTCTACAAAAAGCTAAAACAAAATTAGTATGTACCAACCAAGTCTTGTTTTTAGTAACCTCTAATATTTTTAAAGTGAAAAGATATTATTATTAGCAGAATAAATGCGATAGGTATAGAAAAGTATTGCTATAACCCAGCAAGTAATAGTCACGTGCGCACACCCACGCCAACCCTCGATCTGTATTGTGCAAACGACAGCGTGGTCACCCCCACCACCTGAGGGTTATATTTTAAATCTATTGAATCTGCAACAACGCGTGATTACACTTGAATCCAGGATCTTCTATTGAATTATTTTAAACTTTGTGCAATTTGTAAATCGGCGGACTTGATGGCCAGAGCATTCTATAGCAGTCTTCCTTAGGATAGTCAGACAAAGAGGGCTGAGCCGTAACATGCAAAATTTAGATACCGTCAAAGCGTCTCTCTCCACTTAAAAAAAACCTCTGGGTCACTGTTACGCGAACGACAGCCTGTGTTCCATCTTTCTTTCGGTATTTGCACTTGAACGTCTGTTAGGATCAGATAACGATCTAGGATGGAGGAAATTCTTAATAACAGGGCAACTTGAAGTTTCTTCCAAAAATAGAGAAACGTATCCGTTTCTGTTGCCCAAGGTGCATTATGAACAATGAACATTTTGTCTGCTCAGTATGCCTCTTTTAGTTACACCCCTTTTTCACAGTGTACCTGCTTTAAAAATAATTTGGGATCAGACAGTCGTATGGGTAGTGCCTCGAGTTATTATTACTATTATTATTATTATGCAAAAGCCAAATTTTACTAGAGCACATCATACTTCGGGATAGCACGCACACTCTACTATGTTTCTCATTCAAACTTTATTCGAAATGAGAAGCTTGCTAAGGGATGTCTGGCGACTGTTCTTTCTCCAAAACTAGGTTTGTAACGGGTCGTTAAAGTGTAAGCAAGTCAACTGATCTTGCAAGCACAATAGGCTATGGTTACCGTTTACCATTAGGCGGGACGTGGTATAAAAAAAGAAAGGCGATTTAAATTCAAAATGTATTTTGGTAACTGTATAGTAGAGCAGGGCCAGTTTAGGAATAATAAATAAAAGTACCGAGCTGCGTCTCTTACCTCGTTCATACAATGAACTGTTGCATTGAACCGGTTTTAATAATGTATGAATAAGTTAGATCTGTACTTCTTCATACATAACAAAACACTTCACTATTTTGGCTTGAGATCATCTCATCAATTATGAATACGATAATAACGCTTCACATCAACAGCCTTTAATTGTCCACTGCTGGACACAAGCCTCTCCTTAGAATAACGCTTACTAAGGACACACTGATCATTTGCTTTTGGGTTAACGTATAAGTCAATTATTTTAATTAAATTTTAAAAAATCTGTGCAGTCTATGGGAAAATCATAATGTTCCGGTAATACCAGTTTTGTAGTTTAAAATATTTCAGAAGATAAGTAAGCTCAGTGTGAAAGTTTCATTTCCTGATATTTTAACGATAAAAATAAAATTAAATACGATTAAATTCTCCTATATCATGTTTCACAATACTATCTACACATTTTTAGTTACAAAATTAACTGACTAAATTTTAAAGGGATAGAAATTGCGTAAAAGAATTCCACTACAATATTTTAGTTAACTTGACTCTAACAGTTTTAATATGTGAAGGATTTAATTGAACAATAGAACGAGAACTCGGAATCATAACATTCAGCCACCTACACTACGCAGGTAAGTATTCTGTAAGAATAGACCAGGCTGTCACCGCTCGCCGCAGCCCGTGGGTGTAATCTAGGGGCAAGGAAATGATTACCTTCAGAGACTGTCAACAACATTCAACCAATATTTACTAACATCTTGTAGTATAAAAACTATAAAAAGTCAACACATCGAGTTTAAGGCAGTTTGTTTTTAGACGCTTTTTGTAGGGGTGTACTAATTCACTGCTGGACATAGGCCATTAGAAAGGAGAGGCCTATGTCCAGCAGTGGACTATTAAAGGCTGTTGATGATGATGATGATGTACTAATTCTGAAAGGCTCCATGGTAACTGGTCACGTAGGGTAATGAATTACAAACAGAAGCCTATTAACTGGTATATAAGCTTCATATTGTAAATATATAGGGTACACATATGTTATTGTATACATATACTTCGGTATGTGGCATATTTCAACAATACCTATACTAAAGAATATTATGTTATCACGTCATATAGGGAAACCAAGAGGAATTGTGCTACCCTTTGTTTTTGCTTTATTACATTCTATCTATTTAAAAAAATTGAAATTCAGTTCATAATTAATTAGAATACGTTAGACTAACTTTTAAACTTTCGCATTCCATCCATCCATACTTAACATAATAAAAAATGTGAAAATGAGTTTGTTTGTTTGTTTCTTTCACCAATAGAAAGCTACGTTATCAGCGAGTAACATAGGCTACTTTTTACCGCGACAACCGACATACACGCGGACGGTGCCGCGAGCAAATTCTAGTGTATAATATATAATTATGTATACGAGAATTAAAGTGCTCACGATAGGTATTAAAAATACCTTTAAAGAACCTGACGCTTCGACCAGATTGCACTGGCCGTGGTCACAGGTCAGTCAGCTTAATACCTATCGTGAGCGCGTTAATTCCCGTACTTGATAAGTGAACAAATTTGAGCGTCTCTGGCGTCCTTAAGAGCAGTTTAGGTATAAATACACGTATGGCACAGATCTCACTATGACACAGGCTCTCCGACTCGGAGGACTCGGTTACTAATACAGTAGTTCAGAGGCTATATGTACAATTTAGTAGGTCAATTGGCTTATTTTCCAAATTTAACTATCGTTTCCTTTTTAATAACTATAAACACTGTTTAACTCACAAACTATTTTTTTTACATCGGCCAGGCAAGAGTTGAACTAGCATATTCTTATATTGGAAATGAAGTTTAAATCCACAATATTAAGAGATCTTATGACCATGTGATTTTGGAAGGTGCGGTGGCGTGTGCTTACGTAAGGAATTAATCTGACTATCTGACATCCACATAACATATGTGGCAGTCACCATAGCCTGATTAGTTCGTAACCCAGAACAGCAACAGATAGGATAATATTTTTTTCTAATCGTGACGTTGTGGTTGCAGTAAGGCAGGTATTTCGCCTAGGGGTACAGAGTACGGTTACCGTTTTTAACAGGTACGGGGTAACGTTTTACAGAAAATCAAAGAGAGAAAGATGAAGTTCTTTCCTCTTTTTTACACACTTCTAAATACACAGCCGGTAGCTGATGGATAACTCACGATCCCTTTCATGACATTAGGTCTGAAGATAACCTTAGGGAATAAATGATTCTATTTCGGTAAATCAGTTAATTGTGTCGTTCGCAGTGCACAACCTCGGGGAATTTATGGGGGCAACATTAATACGTACAAGGATTGCCAATAGTAAGACATATAGCTAGCTAATCGCCCATCTTATGAACAAGTAAAGTTCAATAATTAATGCCGTTGAATGCAAAAACTTATTTATTTTACTTCGCGCAAGGAATCAAATCAAATAATTTATATTCATATTAAGGTGGTAATAAAGGTATAACAATGAGCAGCCATTCTACCTCAAGGCATGCAAAGGCATGGGATCTATCTAGGAAGGGCAATGAGCTTTCTACTCTTATAAAAGTAGATTAGGTTAAACTATGACGTGGCCTAGCCAGCGGACACGACCGTAAGAACATACTGGACCAGTTTCTATTGGACATAACCTACTTGGCCGGAGACATCCTTCTTAATAAAACTGGTAAATTAACATGTAAACAATAGTGGTATCTATTTTAAAAGAGATTCAGGAATACCACATCTAAATAAAAAACTTACTAAATAACGATTTTTATTACGCTGTTGGTCGTTTTACACCTATAAAAAGATAGAGAGCCGTGAATACCATTAACGTTACCGAAGCTACGGTAAACTTAAGTCTATATTTACTTATTTTACATAAAAATTTAAAAAAGGAATTTATACAATAGCAGGTAAAGTACACAGATAGGTAAGTGTTATACTTGTAAGTGCTAACTCTAACTACTACCTGTATCGATTTCTGATCAGAGTTAGTAGGTAGATACTAGAATTAAGCTTCTGAACAACTTTATAAGGGAATCAGGTTCAATGCACATTATATATCCCTAAATATAAGTTCTCGTTGAAATTTTGAGAAATTCCTATCATTACAGTCTAACTCACATAGGTTATACTGTGTACGTAGGTAACATTGCATATTATGTACGTTAGATAGGTAAATAATTTTATTCTACAATTTCCAAAACGAATTGGGCTTTTGCTTACTTATTTAATATTTATTCTGTCGTCAAAACAAAAATAATAATCTCAGTCTAATTTAGAACTTCGGGATGACGATGATAATAACATCTCACATTTAGGGTTTTGGTTAGGTCTTTTTCTCATGACTGCCGACATCAAACGATACATATAGGTATATGTATGTCGACTTTGATGCTAATAGGAAGTGAAGATTGAAAAAGTTTATAAGAGTTGGCAGATGTTTTTCAGTTGGCGCCATTAGCTTCGAATTAGTGTGGTAGGCCTACAGCAACGGTCGAGGCTTTCCATTCACATCACATCCCAATTACACACGTATCTCAGATCGCCACATGGTGTCGGATGCACATCTATTTTAATGTTTGGCCAAAGGGCATTCCGAGACAGAAATAACGAAGCGCGACCACCAGTACCAGTCATAGTGTGAACTTATCACCAGTTATCAGCCCTTACATACGCTGATCACCAGCACGTGTATCACCATGATACTATGCTATATCTAACGGATTTATGTAACAACTTTTTTCGAAAGAAAACATACGCCGCAGTTATTTGCGCAGTTAACTAGAAACTCGTATTTAATCACGGAAAAGTAGGGGAAGTAACTAGATAGTTTTCACTCGACACTTAACTTGTAACGGTACATAAGTACTGAAAGTAACTTGTATGGTGATAAAGAAACATTCTAGTACTCACTTTTAGGCTAAAAACAAACGTTTTAGCTCCCAACGGGACTTGTTCACGGATTACAAGCACGAACACGCAACTTACACTTTAAATATCACAATGCTTAAACAAAACTAACTGTCACACACCACTCCCTACAACATTACTTGTAACACAGGACTTTATTTCGTAAAATGACACGTTAAGAGTTTTTGAAAAGTCCATTGAACTGTTTCGGTTGAAATTTACGTCCAGCGAAATTATAGGTACGGAATGGCAACGCTGTATAGACGACGTGTACATTTCGCGCCGCGACCGCTACGCGGCGCTGTGGTCGGAGGGGGGCGGAGCCGAGCGGGACGAAGCGGGAGGGCGCGAGAGAGACACAGCTACGCACTACGACGCGACGCCACGTCGCAAATATTTTTTACGGTGTACTTATGGGATTCTGTTTCGAAACTGCAATTGTTTAGATAGCGAAGACATTAGCGGATGGAGGCGAACGGAGCAGTGACTGGTGACCTTTTCAATGTATCGCGTCACCGCGGGCGATAACGCGAGGTCGTCGGTCGAACGTGCGACGTTGCCAACTCGCTACGGCATTCGAGCCCACGTTTCCACGGATTACGAAAGTCGGCGAAATCCCCGTGGCCCTTTGATACCTGCTGTCTAACGAACCTAGCCCTAGACACACGAAGCCACACAAACGCTAACCTACATACCTATTATAAAGCAATCTAAAAGTTTCTAATTCAGTACACAATGAATGATGCAAAATGCGAGTCACCACAGTGGCTAACACCTTATGACGCCGTTCCGGGCAGGAATTACTTAGATAATTTCAATGGGACAGTCATGGACGTATAAGAAAAGTCGGACGGAACTATCGCTAACACAAAACTGCGGCACCATAATGGCGGCAGCTCTGTGTGTGAATGAATTTTGGGGTTGTCAAGTTACCCAAATTTATGCACTAAAAACATAGTCAATTAAAAGAAATATTTTATTTGTTCGAAGCTTTACTGTTTAATGTCCTAAATACTGTCTTTTTTTTAATAATAATGTCTTTTACTTTGAAAGGTTCTTGAAATTTCCTCTAATTTCGAGATGAGGTAAAACCGAATTGTTAAATATTTTTGTGCTACATATTTAATAAGACTTATTTTGTGTTCTATTCCGAAGAAACTATGCTTTGATTATAAGTTTAAAAAATGCTTTTATTGCTAACAATTTTTTCTAGAATTTTTGTGAGAATATCTTTGTGTTGTCTTTATTTTCACCATTACAATTTCTAATTATTTGAATCCAATCATTTCTTCATACTCCATTTTCCTTAGAAAATTTAGTAGTAGTAACTATTAAATAAATAATATGTTGATTTTAATAACAAACCAAAATTGTCCTTTGTTTCGGGTAATTTTCATATGTGAAAATTTGCAATACTGATTAATTTTAATGTATAAAATCTGTCAATAAGTGATTGAATTATTCATTTACCTATGAAACGTAATTCCTTGATTATGTTTCTTTCAGACAGTACGGTTTTTACAGCATTTCACCACGCAAAACATGTTGTACATTTATATATTTTCGCCGCGTAATGCGTCTCGCTGTCTTGATGTTTGCGAGCGTAATGGCCGACTTATGTGTGTAAGTGTGTGTACGGGCCTGGACGAACAGCGAGGTGGCTGACTATGAGTGACACAGTTTTTTATTAGCCAGACTGTCCGACTTTTTTGTACGTCCATAGGTACAGCCAATGCCTTTCAAGCTTTGTTTACTAAAGCTAAATTCTTTATAAGCTATCTGTATAATGGTCTAACACTAGTCCTGCTGCCACAAAAGGAACCTAACCTAACATTAATGTTGACCAAACACTTTGTTTCTTCAAATTTATTAGGTATTATTTATATACCTTATATACACATCAACAGCCTTTAATAGTCCACTGCTGGACATAGGCCTCTCCTTAGAAAGAAGGTTTTGGCCTACTATACCACGCTGGCCAGGCGGGTTGGTATAGGGTTTGTGTCAAGTTTTCCTTCTTTTTGCAGTGCTGGTGTCCTGCGTTGTATTGCGCCCTTAGTCGGCTCTTACGACACCCACGGGATGAATTGGGGTAGTGACATTCCGTATTCTTAATCCGTCACTACACGGACATATACGATCTCTTGTAACTACCTGTAGAATCTAACCGAGATGGCAAATTGATTGACTACCTATGATAGAAAAAGAAAATGTATTATTTTAAATATTGTACGCATACCTACCTATGTTAGAGACAGAAAATTTAGATTAAATACCTAACTAGGTGAACGTAACATATAATGATTACTTAGATTAATTATATGAATCTAAGGATGATAATAATGTTTTTGTTTGCTTGCTTTGTGAACTGAATTTCTCTTATCTCTTTTATTTCATTTTTTTTTATAGGGAGGTAGTACTTAAATATAAAACCTATCTATATGCGTAATTTCTATTCCCTTAATCGCGATACTGTTTTATAAGTAAGATTATACAATTTTTTCCGATTTTTTATTATACACATACCTACATGTGTGTTGGTACTATACGACGACGATATGTCAAGCTAGATAATGATAACATGTAGGTACGTGCAAAGATTTACACTAATGTAGTACTGAGATTAGATACATTTTTGTTATCTTCTTTAAGCAACACCTTTTAATAGAAATGATTCGTAAGTGTTTTTTATGAATATCACCTTGTACCACGTTACATACACTAAACTGACATTGTACATTTATTTTGGTGGGTTGTAAAATTTGATTTGACATTTAAACTGCCATCCCGTCTTTAGTCTTGAAATATAGTGCGGATAAAAAGCGAGATAGAAATCGGAGAAACAGTGTTCTGTCAACGCGCTGAAAACACTTTTGACAAAATGGTATTCGTAGCTTAGATTTCAAACAAGTGCGATAAAAGATACCACACTTGTTTACATTATAGTAGGTGCCTATAGCCTATAATGTTATGACATATAACATTACCCTCGCGACCATAAATTCATTTTTTAAACTTATTGTAATCATGTTGTGTCCAGAATGTCGACATGTATTCACTATAGTTTTACTCTGGTTTCAGTATGACTGTGAATACGATATGGTTTCAATATGTAATCACTCGAGAAACACTCTGTTTCGAAATCTATTCACCATGTTTTCAACATACATCCACTTTGGATACATTTTGGTATCAGGATGTATCCACTTTGATCAAAGTCTGGAAACGCGATGGGCAAATGTAACAAACACACTCTGGAATCAGCTGGCAAGAGAACGAAACTAATTCCGTTGTGTTTCTAGAGCGTTGCCTGAATGACTCTAAGGTCGCGAGGGTATACTTTTAACTTGTTTGATTTAAGCGCTGATCCTGTTATTTACTGATAATATTAACTGAATATTGGAAGAATCCGTCGATCGAGGATAAGTGTTTTGCGTACTCTGAACATACTAATTTCAAATTTCTACATAGCATAGCGGTATACGGTATGCCGCAGCATGGTTAAAAGTATCTGAATTTGAAAATTTGCAAAGATTTGTATACAACGAAACTCGTGTTCTGAACATCGACATGAATCGTGTTCGTGTTCTGAACATGAATTGAACTCAATGTTCGTGTACATACATGTGTGTGTACTGTGCAGGTACAAGTGTGTATTGTTTGAATGTACCTTTATATGTATTATACGTGATAGCTGACGTCATTACTATATCTAATCTGCTGCATATAACATACGTTTTATATATGTATACATATTTACGAGTACTACATACGATACAAGTACTCGAGTATTTTACAAGTAAGCGTGTGTTAGTTGGTAATAAGTGCATAAGTACATAAATGTAAGCTTGTTTAACAATACCTATCGAATTATTGTTTTACCATACGTACAAAATGTAGAATAACAAATGACGTGTACTATGATACTGTAAACACATTAAAATGCGTTCATTTTAACATGCAGATGATAAGGTTGTTTAGAATCTCAAAATGGTTACATATCAGATGTTGACAAGATAGCTAGCGCTCCTTGGGCATTCGTTCAACAGTGCACGGCGATAGGCAGATGATAATGCATGTGCGACATATCAAGTTAAATTATACTCGTATAAAAGAGCTTGTTGTGAGGGTCTCAAATAAATTGATTTGATGCAATCGTTTTCATTAGAAATAAAACAGTTAGCTGTTTGGTCGAAAACCGGATAGACGACCACCGTCTCCCTCGCCATACATTGTCAATTGCTATTCTGGATGTCGAACGAAAGAGTGTCACGTAGCTTCTTAAAAATTTAGAAAAAGAAACGAATTTCTGATTAAAAACCCTGGATAAATAAGAAAAACTAATATCACTGTAGAAATACATTTTTAGTTTACTAGTAACCCTTAAATTACTGATTAATATGTCCTTGGTGGGTTGAATAAAAATAATGGTCTTATGCGCAAACAACAACTATATTGACCTACGCTTAGTAAATTAATTTGAATATGTGAAAATAACTTTTGAAATATTCAAAAGATTTTCTCACGAATCCTGTTGAACTGCCTTAAATTGTATTCTTACAAATTAATGTACCATGAAATAACCGAGGCAAAACATTTTCATTATTTATAATGTCTAAATACGGTAGGTTTTTGGCAACTAATGTGTAAAAACATTGTAGATGTTGTGGGCCAACTGATTAAACAATGCATTAATTGTTTTTAGAGTTCCATACGTATGAATAAAAACCGGTACCCTTATAGGATCAATCGCGATAGATTTATAATCTACCTACTTGACTGATAGTATCACAAATGTGTTATAAACATTGATGTTCAACGTAAAAAAAATACATTTCGAATAAGTATGGATAAAAATCATGGTAGATCCATATTCATTTGAGGAACTCACGGCAAACACATTCAACTTGCCTTTTCGATTTTTTACATAACTTTTAAGCTAAATCGATTGACAATTGAGTTGCAGGTGTATATGGCTCATAGACACCTGTAGACTGTGGGTGTCGATGGTTACTTACCATCAGGTTACCCGGCTGCTCGGTTGCCCCCTATACCATCAATAATCAAAAATCACCAAAGTCGACTAGGACTGTAATTTATAGAGGTGACTTTAAAAACGTTCTGAACGGCTGTAAAACTAAGTTTTATTGTGCCCATATGACCTAATGACAATTTGAACTTTCATTTTATTATGATTATGTTCTAAGTACGTACAAGTAAAGGCACTTAGGAGTCTTTGGACGTAACTACGACTAGCCACGTAATGTAGGACGCTCCAAGGGGACATGAAGTACGGACCTGCACTTGATAGCCGCCAGTATATGTAGACCCTTCAAGTTTGAAATTGTGAACGCTTCTAAATTTCAATAGGCCTCGAATACGGGCTTAATCTTACATGGACCGGCATTTTTATTTTTTTAGTAACCTATCTACGTCTACATCTAGACTAGACAAAGCTTGTAGGTACTGTGGTTACTAGATCAAGGGTAAATTTACTTAGATGTAATATATTCTATTCAAATGTTTGCACTGTAATAATAATGAATTAAATGTGTAGTTGAATATTTAAAAAAACTAGAAAGAAACGAGTACCTGATTTCTGTTATTCGGCCTTAATTAATTAACTACAGGTTAGTAAGTAAATATGTTACCGCACATCGAATATCAATGAAGCATGCAAATTGACCCTGGAACGCCTAATATTCTCCAAAATGTGCGAAAAAAAGTTATTTTTATTTTTTACTAAAACATAAATAAAACTGTTTTTGTCGTTGACCACTGGACCGTTCGGAATCGGAGAACGTCTGGTAAGATTCGCGAGACACATCTTCAGTCTTCTCAAATTAATAATAACCTAAATTGAGTATCAGTAATACATGCCAATACGTTCTTAAGGCTTAGAGTTGTGCGATTGTTATTGAAAGGAATGAAGCAAGGTTTGTTGAACTATTGATTTTATTTATGTATACAATACGTGGGCGTGTGGCTATGATTGCCTCCAGAAAATATTATTTCAGTTAAAGAATATTGCTGTTCCTTACTATTTGATTGCCAAAATTGAAAGGAATAGTCAAAGACGAAAATTGCTTGCTGCGAGACAGCAAATGCATATCGATAAGTATTTAATCATAATCATTAGATGTCTAAAGAGCTTATAATCCGATACAAAAGAAATAGTGCAAAATAACCACTTAAACATACTGCCTTTTTTGCTTGATGTAATAAATAACGCAGTAAGGGCCTGGTGGCCTTGTATTGATTTTTGTGGGTTAAGTGTTGTTACAATAAAAAAATCTTTTTAATATACCAAAAACACGACATACGATCATTTTAAAAAGAGATTAATTAAAAACAAAACAGCGGTGAAAGTACTTTTTACTGAAACCTCGTCTAACCCGGTCAAGAATTGTAGTCACAATTCTAGTACAATGTATGTACAAAGCTGTGATATTTCAATGCAGTCTTTATTTTAAAAGAAAAACATACTATAAAAAAGAGCATTTTACTCGTATCCATACCTATTTTCATTTTTGAGGTATCGACGAAAGAGATGTGAACCGGATTTGGCGTTTCATATTTAACTACCTGAGTGACAGATAACTGAGTGCTTTGACTGGCTATTCCGTTTCGATTTCCTGGCTTCCTTCGCCAGAGTATCGAATTTGGAAACCAGGTGAAGGAAAAAACACTTCCAAGTTTAGGTTGATAGACATTTATGTAAAAGTTTCGTCTGAAGATCTACCTGATGGGTGAAGGACTTTTTGTATTCAATGTTATGAAAATACTTGTTATTCGTGTAAAATAAAAGGTGGTAAATTGTCACGGTATAAAAAATACATGTAAATATATGTAAATGTTTGCTTTTTTGCAATTAAACTAATTACATATAGTCTTTGTATTATTTGTCTTTTTTTCTACCGTGTGGGAGAGTCGTGCTTGCGCACGAATGGGCCGGCTCGACCGGAGTGATACCACGGCCTACCCACAGAAAACCGGTCTTTAGCAATTCTTTCGTTGCCTTTAACTGAGTTTCCCCCCTCCCGCTTGAGTCAGACTCCAAGGGCAGCAACACACTTGTGACTTTTGAGTTGCAGGTGTCAATGGGCAGCGGTAGTTGCTTACCATCAAGTGACCCGTCTGCTCGTTTGCTTCCTCATACCTTAAAAATAAATAAAAAATCGTTTGTTGATAATCTTTATTTTGATGAAGCAATTATTAATAATTTAAAAAGTAGGTATATATTTATATCTCTTATTTAAAAATTAATCAAGACTGTCGAAGAAACAAACAAATATGTATAATGGAGATCAATCATTGAGTTAAACAACTAGAGAAGAAAACCTCATTACCACACGTCACAATACCGAACAATACCGTCGCTAGGATTAGACAAACATAATATAAACATGCGATGGCGGACCAGTCCAGTGTTAACTACCATTTGAAATTTTACCCATAACAACCGATTTTTATAATTATTTTTAATTTTTGTAACGGAACCAACCACCCATTTCTCAGACACGGAACTGGATATACTGTAAAACTATTATTAGAAAATAAATAAGAAAAAAAATACATAAATTAATTCTTATGTATGAAAGCTTGGATGCGAGCTTTGATGGTCCAATCCTATCAGCTACCAGCTATCAGCTACTGTAATTTATTATCATAGCCAAAAAAAAAAAAAAAAGAGTATAGTGTTTTTCTCAAAAAAATACCAATTCTCCCACTAACGTGTTTACACTGTATATAAATCACAGTGATCAATTTTTTGTTTCGATTATAGCGTTATTTACGTCAATATCAATACATATTTACGTGTGTAAGCTTGTTGATTTTTTATAGTTTTGTGACCTTGAATAGCATTTTATCATTAGGCATTTATCGTTTTTGGAGATTGTTATTGTCACAAATGTCACATGTCGCTATGTTCAACTCGATCGGTGCTACATTGAATACTGAACTGACGTTTGCTGCGTTTATGGCTGTGGACAGATGTGCAGAAAA